TGCGCACGTTTTGTTGAACTCTCCTTTTGCTTGTAGTCGTAGGAGTAGAATTAGGGCGAGTTACTATTTTGTTAGTAATGCGGAAAATAAAATCTGCAGTTCGTTTACCGTTGCAAATAATTTTTCTGTAACTCGGAAACGAAAATGTCTAGTTTTTCAAATATTGATACTGTCGCTCTTTTTTTAAAAAAAAATATCACTTTTATTATTATAATTTGGTTTTAACTTTTACTCATTTTTCAACTATTTATAGTTAAAATGATGGGAAGGGATTCTGGTACTCAAGAAAACGTGCGCAGATTATTTTCTCCCCCATACGTCACATACAGTTTTTTTTACTGTTTTTTGGCTAAATAAATCTAATAAATTACGTTTGAATCTCGGATGCCGCCGCTTGTAGCGCTTTCGTCGCTTTGCCGCGGATGTTGCTGAAGCGGAACGCGCAGATGTTTGAAACTTGTCGCTTGCAGCTATCGCACGATGTAGCCCACGATGGACACGGCCTAGTGCTTTCGGCAGCTAGAATTGTCCTCCAGACAGCAGCTGAATTTGACCAAGCTGTCTATCTAGTGTCGAAACTCCGTTCACAGGACTCGGACCCTAGGTCTTCCCGGTGAGACACTGCATGCAGCGACTACAGACGCTGCCCGGAGCTAATGTAATAACCATATATTCTGCGCGCAGCCTTAAAATGTGTGCCCTGTAAATAGCGTTCATTTTGGGAGACTGCACAGAAAAACAGTAATTCCTTATATAGATTCCTTTTAGTTTATGTTGTAGTCACCTTGCCCTTTTAACTGAGGACGTGAATGTTCATTCCAGAGCCTTTCAAGAGCATCCACAAAATGCATTCTTGCTCAAATTCAGTTAAATATATTTAAATGTTCAATACAAGTAGCTCTTGCAGAACATTCTCAAGTACAATTAGTAGGATAGAGAATAATTAACTCAAATACTGCCGATCTCAACGCAGGCGACAGAGGTGGTGGTGAGTTTACCACATTGAACGAGGAAATTTACACGCTCAAGTTCAAATGCAAGATCATAGAAACAATTTTGGCGGTTTAGAATACTGGCAGCGGCATGAAAATGTGGGTCGATTGAGTGTACCTCTCATTGTAAGTATTTCATGCGCACGACCATCAACAATTATATAATAAATGTAATTCATAACGCTAATAGGCCTGATACACCATTATAATTTCTAATTTTGATCTTGGGTTCGTAGGCTTCCTGTTCGGCCCGGAGTCCAATGGTATTCTTTGGCTAGTACCGGGATTGTGCCTGCGTCTCAGTTAATTGGACTAACGTTTCGGCCATCTTGCTGTGGCCTTCTTCAGAGCTATACTGCAGTATAGTATGCCTGCAGTATAGCTCCGTTAGTCCAATTAACTGAGACGCGGCACATCCCGGATAGCCAAGAATGCATCTAGTTGACTTTATATCACGTCAGGACTCGAACCCTAGGTCTTCCCGGTGAGACACTGCATGCAGCGACTACAGACGCTGCCCGGAGCCATCTCTATCGGTTGGTTTGCGCCCACTATGGCGCTGGCTGTCGCAAGGGGGTGGGTCGTGGGCGTGGCCCCCCGAGGGCTCCCCCGCCACTGCAGCCGACGCAAGATACGGCGGGGGCGGCTGCAAGAACGGGTCTCGGCAGCGACAAAGGACCCCGTTGGCAAACGGCGGTGGTTGCTTGACGCAGCGTAGCCGGCGTCGCACGACAGCGATTTTTGTGCGATTGCTTTCGCTTGCCTGGGCGAATTCGTGACTCGTTCCAACATTCGGTTTTGAGCAGAGTCCTGCGAGTATGTGGTGACCGATTAGCCGAGTGTGAATTTGCCTGTTTTCTCTTGGGGGACTTACAAAAATCAAAATTGTTACAGTACTCCCGAATATTAAAAGATCCGTTTAAATTCGAGGGTTCGCGACATCAAACAGATCGATCGGGAAATTGCCATTTTGGTCGAAATCCTGTCTATGGTTCAGGCTTAGTGTTGTTTTCAGACGGGCGACCGGAGAGACGTTTTGAAACGAGGGAGGGGGGGGGTACAAAATCGCACAGACTTTCTCTTACCAGTTAGTTCCACTTACTTCTGAGTCAGGGTTACTTTCGGTTTTGCCCCGCACCTTTCCCGGCTGAAGGAAACTATCAGGGCCTTATGATACCCCGTGGGCCCAACTCTGTAGCACTTTATTGTAAAAAAAAAAACTTTTTTGCACTTACTAACGTAAGAAGAAAAAGTACTGTAATCATGCACCGGAAAAGGGCGAATTATCGACACAAAACCTCTTATTGTCGGGCCCTGGTAAAGGAAAAAGTTGATAAATACATTTGCTAAATACAGGGGGGAAATCCTCCAACCCGTAGTGTAGCTAGAATCACGTTTTGTGCGTCCTTCGTACCGGAAAATCAATTGACGGCAAAACGTGATCGTCCGTCCGTCGGTGTACAACGCTATCGCATAAACCGTTCAGCCAATTTTCTACAAAATTGATATTTCCCTATCGTTCTAACTTATGTCGTGGACCCTGGAATTTGAAACCGATATTTTAATTTTGGGAGTACTTTAACACATAAACTGTTCAGCCAATTTTCTACAAAATTGATATTTCCCTATCGTTCTAGCTTATGTCGTGGAACCTGGAATTTGAAACCGATATTTTAATTTTGGGAGTACTTTACATGAAACACCTAGAACATTTCCAAAATTTTCAACAACAAAAAAGGCTCCAAATTTTTTGATTAAATTTTGTCGTTGAGTAGTGCAAAAGACGTTTAAGAGAATGGTGCCGGTCTCGTTTTCGTTGACATCCCCGATTTTTCGAAAATGGAAAAAACAAATTTAAGCTTCTAAATTGGAGATAGAAATTTATTTATCAGACAAAATCTGTTGTACAAATTAGCTCTTCAAAATAGGTCGTGTACATTTTTTGAAAAAAAAAAAAGACTAGTTTTGGCGTATTTATCGATTGGAATTTTTAAAATATCTCAAAAACAGCTCCAAATATTTTCTTAAATTTTCTTCACTTATGTAACATGAAAACTGTTAAAAAGATGGTGCAGGTCCTATTTGCTTGTTTGCTCATATTGCTCTTTTTTAATTAAAAAAATAATACTACAAAATTGAAGAGAGATTTTTGCTTTAGGCAAAGTCTGTTGTACAAAATAAGCTCTTCAAAAAAGGTCGTGTGAAATGTTTTGAAAGAATAATAGTAGTTTTGCGTACTTTCTGCTTGAAATAAATGAAATATACACAGGTTTGATACCAAGTACGGTCACGTTCCATTTATGGCAAAATTGGCGCTTTTGGGAAGAATTGATAATAAAATATTTGCCCACTGTTGACAGCGCACATCTCTGCATGCGCGCTACGTTGTCAGCGCTCAGCGACTGAGATGTGTTGATATAGACAGAAATACTGTATAATATTATTACATCCCTGAGGGACGAGAAAGTATGTGCTAGCACCACTAGTTTAAAGTGGTTAGAATTCGTAGCATTTGTTGCATAGTCACCTATTGGGGTGGAACTTTTGGAGTAATCCTGAAATCTAGTCGGTCATCGCGAATCCTAGTCTATCATTGTCTTTTATCCTTTAGCTAGGAGCTTGGCGCAGTTAGATCCCAGGTTTCCCAGACAGCCATCCAACCAGGAACCCGCGATGTCTCAAATTGCTTCACCTCCAGTGACTTCACGGAGCGTAGTTAAGGATTCTGCAGAATGGCACGCTCTTTCTCTTTGTAGATAGTTTCCTGTTCTAGTTAGTCGGGGGCTATAGCTTTTCGTTTTCCTCACCCCTCTTCGCAGTTTCCTCGGCGCCTAAAGACCTACCAGCTTCATTGATCGATCGAGTGAATGATATTTCCGGACACGTCATCTGCTACGGTCATTAAGTGCCGATAGTGTAGTGATTTTTTTTTTAATTCCATGAGGTGTCGGTGCTCAATTCCTCCTACGTTGTGAGATTCGGTGCCGAACTACTCATAGACTTGGGTGGATTTCCCTCTCCAGGTATCTACCACCAGCATGGCACCGCACCCGCCGGAACAATCTCCAAGATCTCAACTGGCCCCCCGAAATGACTGGGAGTGCATGCACGTGTGGACGTGTGTAAGGGGTAGAGGCAAATCTAGCCGATCATTTGGGGGGGGGGGAGGTAGGGGCGGGTCCTAGGTTTTTGTTAAATATTTGACTTGTTATATTGTATATTATTTATATACTATAGACATACTACAGTGTTGTTTAACATATTACATAATTCAAACATTAATAAATATTTAAATCAATTTTGCCAAATAGGGTTAGGCCTTTTCGGGGGGGGCACGCTCCCCCCCCTTCTCCATCTGCCAGTGATAAGGGGAGGTGATAGAATATGGAAGAAGAAGAAAAGATCTTGTGCAGTCCGTGGCTCGTTTGTTATGGCTATGGTTAGGGCAATGCTCCGGCCAACAGCACTCTATGGGATATAGCCCTCTTGGCTCCAGCATTCACCTGATATTGTTCAAAGCAACCACAGAAAATTACCAATAAGAGCAGCCGGCCGTTTGAATTCTTTCAGAGCCTTTTTTTTAATTTTATAACCCCCCTTCCACCAACAAGTTAAAATCTCAACATCAATTTTTTGCACCATTACAAAACATGCAAACAAAAAATAAAGAATTTATAACTAAATATTTCACATTTTTAATCAATATAATTGGTTTCAAATTCTCAATATTATGTTCTTAATGTAACATTTCCTATCTAAGCAATATTCCAGAGAACTACCAAGACTGCTCCCCTGGGGACAATTCCTAATGAAGGGTGTTCTCATGCTCCTGGAACATTATGCCTACGAAACCTTTAGGTTCATCTCACCGCTTGTACCATTGTTCTGGAAAGGGAGAGTCAGTTCCTCAATTGGACAGATTGTACACATCTTACACGGTTAACAGTGAAGGGGAGGGTTAAGACTGGGTTATTCCTCACACTTGAAGGACAAAGTAACAACAAAGAAAAGAATTGAGGTTCATTTTAATGAGACTACTATTGTTCACCTTATTTACAAACTATAATATAGATTAAACTATGTTAACAGTCTTGATTGCAGAAGGAATACAGAATACAAATAACAGATGTTGATTATAAATTAGAGACATAATTACATTTTTTGTAGACTGCTTTTAAAGATTTGATGTTTTAAAAAACACAAATAAATAGAAGGAATTCCCATTAAAAAAAATTAAAAAAACAGAATCAAAATATTGCAGATATAAAAACTATAACAATTCATTGTAATAATCTGGGCAATTATGCTTTTACAAAGAAATCCGTTTCCTAATCGTCTACTTCAATTAGCACTTTTCCTGGGCAATTAGTGTCTTCAAGCTGCTTGAAACCTTTATTAACTTCACTTAATTTCAATACTTGAGTAACATATGGGTTTATCAGTTCCTGTTCACACATATCAAGAGCATCTTGGACAGCTTGTCTGCAATAAAATATGCCAAATTAATTGAAAGCTAATATTAAACATTAAAAAAAGAAGAAGATAAATGAACACATTCTCACCGATAAGTTTCATAATCAGCTACTAAGTAATTACGAAGGGACACTCCCATAATACTAAACGATTGAGGAAGGACCTCAGCCACTTTTATGGGTGGTGCTTGCCTAATTGCATGGCCAGCAACCACCACTTTCCCTTCATGGGCAACACTGCAAAGATACTGTTTTTAGCACAAATAAAAGTCTTAAAAAAAAACACACACAATAAAAATAAAAAATTGTAGAAGACTACACCAACCATTTCACAGCAGTTTCAAACACAGGCCCTCCAAGGGCATCAAATACTACTTGAACACCTTTGCCATCAGTGACCTCCTTCACTTTGTTGATAATACCTTTGTCATTATATGTAAGGGCTGACCACGCACCCTTTTCTCTTAGGGCAGCTGCCCTCTCTTCAGAGGAACATATTACTATTGCCTGGAAAATAAGTTATTTATTGTGAAACCATGACTTATTTGTTTTAATATTTCTGGAAACATCTAGGAAAATGAAAAATAATTAGAACTGCTTTTATTTATTTGAAATTAAAAGTTTTGGAGTTTCTTATTAATTTGCTTACAAGGTTAAAAAAAATGTATTTCATATTGGCTCCAAATTAACCTTATACAGTAAATATTGAAGAAAATTTTAATGGAGAAAATTTAAACAGATCCAAGCAAGAAAAGTTTTGGAACAAGCTTTACGTTATTTTTATTCAATTGCCAGCTATGGATGCCATGAAGATAGATTTATCACAATGTAAATCATATTTAAATTTCCTCTATATGCAGGCTAGTAGATTTTCTTGGTTGGACCTTCATTCACATTATTAATGCTTTTGTGCATTGTGCACATGTTGACAATGTGCATTTGTGTGAATTGTTGCCTTGTGAAAATTGGCAATGAATTAACGTGAATAATGTAGAGTGAAAACAGGTGCTAAAAATGTGGATTTTGGCTATTGCATAAACAGTGATGAATAAACGTAAATCTTGTTTATATACTAGATGAATTTTAATTATATGTAATGTTTGCACATTACATTTTTTCTTGGCGACATCACCTAGTTATTTGATTTCACTCACAAAACAAGGATTTTTGGCTAGCACAAACCTTGGCTTTGTATACATTAGCAGCAAAATCTAATGCTGCCAAACCTAAACCACCAGATCCAGCTCCAATAAGGAGGACATCATTTTCTTTGATCTTTGCTCTTCGACCCAACCCAATAAGAACAGTACTGTAATTATCAGCTAATGCAGCTGCTGTTTGATACGAAATTGTAGTTGGTATTGTCCAAAGATCCTGTTAAAAAAATTATTGTAAATCTTGGTATTTTTCACATCAATCTGTTTTTGGTAGTTTCAATTTAAGAGCAAGAATAAATTTTTAAATATATTTCAAATAACAATGTCTTAATTTATTAAACAAGTTTAAAGAATTGTTTAGTAATTTCCACTTAAACTACAGCTTTATAAAAACAAAACATTTTCCTTATATTTATAGAAACAATTTTTAATGGGTATTTACCGACTGTGCTACAACCACCTCCTCAGAAAGACCACCAAACTCTTTCTTACTCAATGCAAGAACTCTTGAACCTACACCAAATTCTTTGCTCACTCCAGAACCCACTTCAATAATTTTCCCAGCTACTTCATGTCCTGGTATGAAAGGTAATTTTGGTTTTACATCATATTCTCCTCTAGTTACAAGGTAATCTGATACATTTAAACCACAAGTATGAACTTTCACACAGACCTGAAAATAAAAAAGAATATGATAATGATGTCATACTTCAATTATGATCTTTTATTAATAAATATGATGTCCTAGATTCAGTCTTGAAGTTTGCACACTTACTTATATAACTGAAACATGAAGTTTTTGTCCTGCACAATTAAAATCATGATTTACAGCGTAGAAATATAGTATTTCAGTTTTATGAAGCAACACTTACTTCATTCTTTTCTAATTTCTTCTTTCTTTCAACGTTTTCCACTTTTAATTGGCCACATAATTCGTGAAGAACAGCAGCTTTTACCGAAGCAAATCGCGTTAACTGATGATTGATGTTTGTGGGTTCAAAATTATTAAGAAGGGGCAGAGAGCAGCGTCCAAGTACTTTGTTAACGAGAGCTGCCATATTCATTCAAATTTTGTAGATTATGGAGAATTGTCACCTTGAAAAAAATATAACATTTTATAATTAATATTCCTTTAAAGCGTGAACTTGTGCCTTTATCACACAGTTCGACTTTGAAGAACAAAACTTCGACTTAACCACTACATAACCTATACCTTCCATACATTCTCCTGAGATGTGGGGACTAAAAAAGTCCATGGAATCCTCGTGCTGGTGCTGCTCACATTGCCAGGCGCACGGAGTTTCAGGCAGTACGGGAGGGAAAAATAAGGCTGTCTGAAGGCGGTACACGGTTGTCAAATGTCTGTGGCGGCTTGCCGCATGTGGTAGTGCGATGCAAATGCATGAGATTTGTGAAAATATTGGAATTGCCGTGCCGAATAGTACAGTCCGTCAAATTATTGTTAATTCTTACTCTTTGCGTTAATTATATCAGAGAGCTATAGGTGTTTCTGGCTTAGAATTTTCGTAGAATTGCACCTTATCACGGACTCTCTCAAGAGGGACTTTTTGTAAATATAATAGTTATCTATTTTTTTATGTACCGAATAGTGTTGAACATTGTCATAGATAATTTGATTTTGAATTAGAAAATGTGGGAATAATATTTCATTAAATACTTGAAGAATTTGTCGATGCCGCTCCATCATTCGTGACATCCTAAGTTTTGTCGATCCACTAGATGTAAACAGTGTCAGTATTGTAGGTTAGGAATCATGAATGTTCGTGGTTAGTGTCTGTGATATTCGTATTTTTGAACGTTACAAGAAGTCCAATCATGTCTGTGACTCCTTCAACCGTGGACTTCACTCCTGAAGAACTTGAAAAGGCAGTTTCTCAGTTTTATCAATCTGATGCAGCTGTACAAGCTAAAGCTCACCAGTGGTTAACTGCTGCTCAAACTACTCCAGAGGCATGGACATTTGTGTGGGATTTATTACAACCAAATAAGGTCATTCTACTTTCTTTAGGTGCTTGCTGCATGTCAAAAAAAAATTGTATGAAAAGTTGATTTGCTGAATGTGATGTAATGTGGAAAGACTACTGTAAAATAATAAGTCCATTTTTTCCGTAGTCATAGTAAGCATTTGTGAACTCAGTGCCCAACAGTATTTCCTGGGCAATTTTTTTCGTACAGTGAATTAGAATGAATATGAAAGTGGAAGTTAATCAATTTTTTAAATTAATTTTTTTATTTTGGGCTTCCAGTCAACGGAACTTCAGTTCTTTGCTGCAACAACACTTCATACCAAAGTTGTAAAATGGTGGAAAGAAGTTCCTGAAGATCAGTATCCTGTTTTGAAGAAAAAACTATTAGAAGCAATTATCAGCCACTGCCTAGGACCAAAGATAGTGTTGAATAAGTTATGCATAACTGTAAGTTTTGTCTATTTATTGATTTACAGCAACATTTTATCTGTGTGAATACAAAAAACAACTACTGTTTACTGTGCATTTTTTGTTTCATGATTGTAAACCATAATTGTATTATTTGAATCATTAGCTATCAGCATATCTTCTGCAAACCATATCTGTACATTGGCCAGATGCTATACCAGAACTACTGTCAATGTTTCAACCTTCCTATTTACCATCACTTCCCCCAGAAAGAACGGCATGGATTCTTCTTGAAGTTTTAACTGTTTTGCCAGAAGAGGTGAGAAGTGTGAAATATTTTTTGCTTTTCTTGTTTTATGATACTCCCGTACAGGACAGACTCCTATTACTTGGATGAATGTAATTGGTAGCTTATTACTTGAATATTATGTAACTGGAATTGCTCATTAAATCACTTCTTTACTTCAGTTTCAGAGTTCTCATTTAAGCCAGACACAGAAAGGACTTGTCAGAAATGAACTACAAAAGAACACTCCACAAGGTATTAAAATTGCACGTATTTATTAAAACTACCTAGAACTGTTTGTAATGTGTTTAACAAGTTAATAATATCATCAATTACATAGATTATTTTGTTTTCAGTTTTATCATTACTTGAAGACATTCTTGCTACAAATGATTGTGCAACAGCTAGTGAAAGCTCTCTAGAAGTAATACACCAAGTTTTGCGATGTGCAGCATCGTGGTTACAAATGGGAATACCAATTACTGACTGTATGCGATTGGCTGATTTGCTAATGTCAGTTGTTATAAGCAGTGTAAATATACCTCATCATCATAGTTTTGGCAGGTATGTGTCAAAATATGTACCTACATACTTTTTTCGGAAAGTGTGGCAATTTCTTTTTGTTTGAGAATAGTGCATCACAACTTATTACATTTAATTGAAATTTAAACCTATTTTTGAAGTTCAGAAGTGGGAGTATTTATTGCTTCATTAAGTATCTACAAAACTTGTCTCATTTCTGATGTATTAGTTTTGAAGTAATGATTGCAATAAATGTAGAGTGCACTCACAATAAAAGCACAAAATTATTTATATGAATCAGAAATTCATTGCATAAGCAGAAGAGAATGACAATTGAACACTGAAAGTGATATCAAAGACATTTTTTTGTTAAAATTTAATGTTTTCCACACTAGCTGTATTCTTATTTTAATTAGTTAAAAATCAAAATCTGTTGTTCAGTAATTAAAATTTTGAATTTAATTTCACTTTGTGTATAATGATAAAAATTAATAAAATGTTTTCTTAATCCTTTTCAAATAATCAATAATAAGAGTAATATTATATTATTTTACAATTTATCTGGAAATTATTTTCTATTAAGGTTTATTTTCTATACTTAATAAGACTTTTTTCACTCTTGTGTATCAGAGATTTTATATATGTGAAATTTCATATCAAGTAATTTTCATTTCAGTGTTTTTTCACAATTCCATATTCTATAAATTTTCTATAATGTTAAATACAGATTGTTTATGATTACATATCAGAACATTTTTAAACATAACTTGAAATTTTATTGAAATCGTTTTTCCACTGTAATATTTATAAGTTCCTTATATGAGAACACTTTTCAATTATAGTATTCCAGAAGCTGCTTTGGATGCTCTTCAAGCCATGGCAACACACCCTGATACTCACAGATTCCCAAATAGTTGTTTACAATTACTTGAAAAATTACTACCACTCCATTCACTTATTCAGCAAATTAGCAGTGAAGATCAGGTACTGTATCCAAAGAATTCATTGAGATAAAAAATTAATTTTGTAATTACTTTAGAGTAAGAAAATCACTTATGCTTATGTATCAAAAGTGATTGTGTGAAGTTTATTTCCAGGAACTCTTGTCTAATTTATACTGCACTTTAATTGCGGTCGCAGAAAGTCATGCTGGTCTGCTGGTTAACTCTTTTCGCTCTGAAAGTCCAGCCAAATCTAATTCCCTGCAGCTTATCCATGTCATACTGCAGTGCAGCAACACTCCCGGAGTGTACCCTATACAGGAGACCTTGAGCCAAAATGCTCTTGGCTTCTGGTACATTTTACAGGTAATTTCGAATGCAAGTACAAGAATGGAAGATAGTAGCCACTATTACATTTATTTCCTCTCATGGTTTGAGAAGTTGCAGTTAGCTATTTTATAGAGTTAGAGATGCCATAAGAAATTTTATTATCACTCTTCAGAAAAAGAGGTGGTGTTATTTAATTATTGTAATGTATTTGAGGCAGAGTATTCACAGTTAAAGCTTTTGTGGAGCTTAGACAAGCATATTTATTCACATATCTAGCAATGAAATTCAAAACAAAACATAACATAAGCGACTGGTGCTCATATACTGAAATTATGTACAATTTTACTTTATGATATTTTATTTGAACAATTATGTTTCAACAATTCAAATTCAATGATTTTCCATTCATTCATACTTTGTGGTTCAAAATAATTGAATAGGAAATATATTCTGGTGTTTGTGTAGTGTATAAATTCATTATTGTGTGAAGAAAAGTTGGTGAAAATCATTGCTCACCATTTAAAGAATGCATTCACGTCTTGATGGTCAGGTTTTGACAATTGTGATGGAAGAGATAGACGGGTTGATGAAAATTGTACATGAACACGTTTTTTATATTGTCATGCACAACAATCCTTATTCACTAATAAGCAAGATGTTGAAATTACTTCTTGGAACAAAACAATGTATTGTGTTATGCAAGCAATTTTATCATTTTAGCCGATGTTATTGTTGGATTCATGTAGAGATTGTTCAGTTTCCTTTATAGAGAACTAATATATCATGTTGGTATTTTCAGTTGCAAAATTTTGTAATTTTATGTTATGAGTCATAATTTTTATACTTGCAGGATGATATGTTAGCAGCAGAAGCAGAAGATTTTACTGTTATAATGCAATCACTTGGTCCTGTATACTTAATGCTGGCAGAAGTAATGTTACATAAGTCAATGTTACCTACAGATGATTCATCATGGGCAAGTGAGGAAAAAGAACAATTCAGATGCTATCGACAAGATGTGGCTGACACCATGGTAAATAAGAGAGCACTGAAATACATAGAATCACTCTGATATCAAGTTAAAATTTTACTGCAGGTGTGTTATGTTGTTTACAGATGTATTGCTACAATGTGCTCCACGACAAATTATTGGAGTTGCTTCTCCAGAAATTAGAAGGAGCTTTGGCAGAAGTAAATGCATCTGTTAAAGATAACAATGTAGGCAACAGAAACCCTCCTGGTTGGCAGATGTTAGAATCTGTTCTTCATGCTTTTGTAGCTGTGTCAGAATGCCTGAACACCAATGATGAGGGTCATGTTCCCCGTTTTCTGAATGTTCTTGAAAGGCTACCATTCGCTCACCTTAATTTGAGAGTCATCAATACAGCATTGAATGTAATAGGTAAAGTGTAACTTTTTGAAATGGTTGGTTTTGAAATTTGGTTGAATGAGCTGTGCTTAAAGCAAGTGATCAAGATTTAAAATCCCCAAAGGGCATTGCAGGGTTTCGATAATTTAAATCGATATAATCATTGATATAAATCTCCATTTAAATCAAATAATTTGCATGAAAACATCAAAATTTAATTTATTATGAATTTTGCCTAGTGGGGGGGGGGGGCAGAGGAGGAGGGGAGTCTCCTTTAGCCCTCCCTCAAATTACGCTCCACGCTCTGGTAGAAATGAATAAACCTTACGGAGAAGTGTTTTTCATGGCTCGCCCTTCATGACATTGTAATGTCCAATTACTGTCAAAGGCAAGTTTTCTCACTTCGTTCGCCCGTATCAAAGTCACAGTGAGACTCGGGCTTTCGGCCCTCGCATTCACTATAAATATCCTTGAGTCTATCCACCACATAATTACCAATTCACTTTTATAGAAAGTACTTAACAAGATAGCCTCCAGAATTCAAACTGTGCAGTTTCAAACACATTGTGAAGAAAGAACACTACAATATTTGTTGATCACACCACATCACTATGATTGCAGTAATGGAGCTTCACTATGATTGCAGTAATGCACTATTTTGTAATGGAGCTTCAAAAAGATACTAGGGTGAAATTGCCTCTCCTAACTTATGATGTCATGTTCGTGACCAATTACGAACTCCTAGTTTCCTCCACTGTGGATTTCCTCCTTGCCAGAGCACTGCAAAGTGCTGAATTAAACAACTTTCTTAAGTTGTACCTTTTACTAGACTTAAGCCAAATTTTGTTTTACAATATTCATTTATTTTTCTGTAAAAACATTTTCATAAAAATGTAATGAATCTGAAATTTAAAAATGGGCAGTTGGATACTAAACTTTATTTGGAGATTGATGTGGGGAGTTTGTTAGCCAAGACATACTACTGACTTAACTCATTGCATGAACTGATGTCACTGCAGTATCTTAGCTGGGAGGTCCTAAGGTTCGAGTCCTGATGGTGGCAGAATTTTTGGCACTAGGTATGTCAAAATCAGTTGTTGTCTGAAGAATTCTAGTGACCAGCTGCATTGATGGTTAGTTTTCTGTATTTTTTGTGATTCAACACCAGGCAAATGCTGGAGTAGTACCCTAACAAACAGGTCACAGATTGTGCGCAATCTTACCTTCCTCTTCCTTGTCGTATCATTACCCCTTATTTACACACTCTTACATGCACCACACCATGACACTTGATGGAGACCAGCTGAGAGTTAAGAGCATGTCTCAGCTGGGACAGTGCCCTGCTGGTGGGAAATACCTGGTTATGGAAAAACCTGCTAGCTGACATGTAGGTATGTGACAGATCAAACTATCCAGCATGGAAAGATCACTACATATCCTGAGGAAAACATGCCCTCCACTTACAAGGCTAATGACCTTAGCAATTGATAGGCCTGGGAACACTAATTAATTAAAAATCTAAGATGCAAGTAAGATCCTGTATTTATTATTTCAGATGTTTTATTCTAAACCATTGGTCAAAGTGATTTGTAGTGCATGTTCTTATGAAAAACAATTAATTGCTGTCACTACTTCATAAGGCAAAAACAGTGAAAACTACAGAAGTATATAGGTTATCTTTGCTGCCCAAGGCTAACCAAGTAGATGGTCTCTGCATCTATTGAGATTTCTTACTCTTATTGCATTGTCTACAAACCTTTTACTATTGAGGACATTTTAATTTAATCATTTAACCATTTGAAAGCAACTGAAAAAGTTTTGGGCAAGGAAGATCATCATCAAAAAAATACTGTGAAGTTGGGAATTGGAAAAATGTCAATGGTTATTAAAGGACAGCTTGTGATTTGCACAGAAAAGTGTCCCTAATCTTCTTTCCAGGGTAATGAGGACATAGGCATTTCAAGTAGTTATTTACTGCTAGCATTTTTTTGTACTTAATCAGCCATCACTGCTTCCATTAAACTGCTCAAGCCAATGTTTTTCGATAAATAATTGTTTTTCTTCTAGGTTCTTGTGCAGAGTGGATCAATCAGCATCCTGTGTCCATGGGTCATGTTGTCCCATTATTAGTGACTGGTCTGAATAGTCCAGAAGTGGCACCTGCAGCCACTATGGCCCTGAAAGATCTTGCACGGGAATGCTTGCAGACCATTGGCTCATTTTCGCATCCTATCCTTCAGGCTACACAGGTCAGTGAGCAAAGAAATCAGTTGATTCAAGAACACTTAGTTTTTAATGATGTGATTACATTTAAATTATGTATTTGATAATTAAATGTTTGTTTGTTACACCTGAGTTTTTTAAGTTTGAACTTGTGGATTTTAAGAAGCAAAGAAACTCTTAGAATGCTTATCCTCTGTTTAATTATATTCAAGCAGTATTGTTTGTAATTATTACTCTTCCAATTCATTTCACCTGCATAAACTCTTCACCAACACTGTCTTGATATTGCTTTAATAAAAAAAAATCTTGTGGCATTTTTTTTGTCAAACTCTTCTGTAATGAACTAGTCTTTTAGATTTGTTACTTACTTGTGTTAATTTAAGAAAGTTTGCATTAGTTGACATATTCTATGATGGTGAATTATTCTGTGAAGTGTTATTAGCGAGAAAGGAAATTTCATTCAAATTTCATTTTCATATGCACAGCCTTAAAATGTCAAGTTTTAAATTGTGATTTGGGTGACAGGAAAATGTGTGGAACCCTTGCCTATTGGTGCAATGCCCTTCCAAAATGTTACATGCAATAGCTCTTGGCAGGAATCGTAGTTGTAGTACATCATGGTCCATAATTAAAAATGTATAAAATTTAAGTTTGTGACATGCCTCAATGGAAAGGAAGGGGGAAAAAACGGCAAGAGAGATTTTGTTATTTGTCATGATGCAGACCTTTTGGTGGAAAGTTTATAAAGAGGAAACAAATCACACTCTACCAAATCAACTTAAAGATTTATGGAACCTTGTAATTGCATTAGATGTGTCTAAACAGTGTTAAATCAGGTTTGAATTAGTTACGATCTTTAAAAGCTATTTTCATAGGAATAATTCTAGTGAGAAGAAAAAGAAAAGAAAGAAGAAAAAAATTGTTTTTATGAAAATTACTTTCAATACATTGTAGGACATTATATCTTATAGTTTTAAGGTTTTTTTATTGTAGTTTAATTATTTAAATTATTTTGTTTTTTTGAGCAGGAAGCTCTGACTAGTGGGCAGTTGCAATCGGGGGAGTGTGTGCGTTTGATGTTTACTGTTGGTCGTGTTTTATCTGTCCTTCCTCTGGAAAGCACAATGCAGTATTTGGAAGTAATGGTAGTCCCATACATAAATGAACTTCAAAGCTTGTCAGAACAAGAGGTACGTACAGAATGTAAAGCTAGTGATTGCAAGATTCCTGTTTGTTTATTTTCCATGTTCTCTCTAACATTAACTTGATTGTAGTTGAATCCATCTGTCCGAGCTGCAGTTATATTAAGACTGAAGATGCTTGGTATACTTTATGGGACCCTTTCTGTACAACGTTCAGAGAATGATGACCTTTCAGAAAATCAAAGTAATTCGAATTCTCAACAAGTCAGTCAACCTGTGCAACCTGTGTTTTTTATGCTGCAGCAAATGATGCCCCTGTCACAAAATATAGTGTATCGCATGGGCAGAGATCATGATATATTACAGGTACTGTATTAATTTCATGTGCTTTTGATACAACATAAATTGGTTTTGTTCTTTTTCTTTGAAAATGCTTTTTACAGGCTCTCTTTTTAATGTTCAAACAAGCTATATCCACATTACTGGAAGGAAGCGAGCCATTTCTGCCAGATTTATTGACGTTGCTGGTTAACAGTTATAGGGAGTTTCCTCATCCTATAGTACTTGAGCTTGCACTTTTGGTACATATAATTTAAATCCATTGAATGAAATTTGTAATTAAATTTAATGCTCAGGTCATTATTACATTGAATTTTTCTATTCTCCTTTTTTCTAGATACTTACGTTGTTCAGCAGTTCTGAAAAACATTTGTCATATATGCAGTCTTTCCTGAAGATGGTTTGCCACCATACTATGCAGCATTTTTTTTGTGGTGCTAACCTTTCAGAACATGTCGATGTATTGGAATCTTTTTTCAAGATGCTTGCAGGTGTTTTGAGGAAGTTTGCTTCCTTGTTTTCTGCTTTTGAGCCAAATGACTGTACTGCACTTTTTCAAGCTGGTTTGTGATATTTTTGTTTGTAAAATTATATTATTCTTGTATATTTTGCATTTCTCATACGGTTTGAATGTCTCTTTTTTAGGCACTGTGACATTGTTACTTCCTGAAATAGCAGCTGTAAAAGCTGCATCACAATTCCTCTGTAATTTTATTTTGCAAAGTCGGGACATTACACACTTACTAGGAGTAGTGCAGTTGTGTGGAGAAGGCTTAGTTCATCAAATATTACGTGCTATTGGTGAGTGTGGGTTGAAATTTCATGTAGACGGAAATGTGGAGAATGTAATACTATGAAGAGGCTCTGATTTCTTCAATTCATTAAAACAAATTTCCTACAAAAATAGTACTTCTCCAAATTAATCATGAAAAACCTGTTTCAACAGAAGACCACTTAGCTGTTCACCTTGAAAGAAAACTTAGATTCTAATTGCACACTACAATTGGTGGGTGTGCATGTAACAGATGAGAAGTCAGGCTTTTGCTCAAAATGAGTATGCCAGAACATTGCTTTACCACAATACTTTCATTGTATATATAGGGATAAGTGTAATTTCCATTTTGTCAATGAAGTTTAATGACAAAATTGAAATGTCACTTATCCCTTAATACACAATGATAGTATTGTAATAAAGCAATGTTCTAGCTTCATTGTTTTGAACAAAAACTGGACTTAACCACTCTTACCCACACACCCGCCAATTCTGGAAGGGGTGAAGAGCCAAAAACTTGCTATCTATTGAGAAAATATACTTTCTTGAAATATTTTAAATAATTTATGTTCAATTGATTATCGAAAACAAGCATTTGCCTTAAAATGAGTATTGCCATCACAGCAGGGTTGGGTGGTCAGTTAATACTGCTTTCGAGTGTCTTTCAGTGTCAATCTGTGATTTGATTTATTTTATCAAAGAACAATAAAAAGTGTGTGATGAATAGGGGGAAGTACAAAATATGCACATTTTATTGGGCTCCAGAATCTCTTCACCACCTTTTAATCATAAATAGTTGAACAATGAATATAAGGGCCATGTGGCTATGATAAGCTCTTGCTGCTGTAAGAAAATAAAGAGGGAAAGCCATGTGCTGTGTAAGGTGCAGGAAAAAGTGGAGTTTGAAAAATATGATTACAGATGTTGCCACATAGGTTCGTCAATGAAATACTGGCATGAGAAATTTAAAAGTAGTGCAGAAATAATTCATACAATTAACATGATTGTAAATTTAAATTAATAATATGTTTATTCAATTTTTGGGTGTTGTATTAACCCTTACTGTGAATCCGTAAGTGAACTGCCTCTGATAACAGACTTCAGTAACAATTTGAGAGTACAATCAAACTATATGAGCAGAGGGGAAACTGTTTGTCTTTTACTATCAATCTCACTTGTAGTATAAAGTGTGTCTATACTTGTTTTCCCCTGCTTTTTAGAAACTAAAATAATAATTATTGGAATTTACATAGTGTTGTAATGGATTCTACAAATTGTGTTAAATGTTTGATATTATATGTTATATATATGGATTACAAACAGTGTTATATGTTAACGCCAATTGCCCTACAGGAGGAGAATCTTCTCGTGCATCTTTAGAACCAATGTCTGAGATCTTACTAGCATTAAACAAAAAGTATTGTGACAATTTGTACCGTTGGCTGAACCAAACCATGCAACAGGATGGCTTTCCTTCACCTCGTGTCAGTGCAGCCCAGAAGGAACATTTTGTAAAAATGGCTCTTAAGTAAGTAATAAATTTGAATTTTTTTAGCTTCAAGCTGAGCTAGGGTTCTTATGTTTTGGGCTTGTCCAACTGCTTCATTCATCTTTCTTGATCAATTGCTCTCATGTTTCCTTGAATGCAGTGGTTTCTATTCTGTTCTTTTACCCAAAAAATAACCTCCTATCTAAAAGTATTATGATCAAAACATAATATGATAGAAAGAAGTTTTTGGAGCACAGAAGTAGTATATTTTTTTGTATCTATGAAGTTCAATTTCTATGGCCTGCTTATCATTTATAAACTAGAATTTGTTTGGGCAATGCCTGTCAAGATGTAGGTACTAACTAACGAAACAAATGGGAACAAAAATAAATTAACTTTTGCATGCTTGTTTCCTTTGGTATCTTTTCCCAGAATGCTTTCTTCAATATCTCATATTTGGATGTTATACCATTTAATTTTGATGTTGATAAAATTTAAATGATTGAATGAATTGTTGACTGTTGACTCATATTTCATAATAATCATCAACTCTGATACCAACCAAGATTGCCTTTCCAAGAATTACTGACACTATCTGCATTTCACATTTAAAATTAATAAATAAAATATATAAATTGTGACTAGTACTTCCCAGCTAATAATCAGTGTTTTTCAGACTGACATTTGTGCCACCCTTTACTTCGCTATGTTCTCCCAAACTGACTGTTAACTTTTCTTCCAGAAATACTTTATTTTGGCCTTAGTAAATAAATAATTATTGTTTGCCATAAATTATGCTATTAGTTGCCACGCATTTCGTATGAAAAGTACATAAACTTGCTTGTCTTTGCTTTCATTCTGACTATACTGTCTGGAGAACAGGTTCCATCTGACAGTCATGCTGGTTTGGATTATAGATTGTATAGCCCTGAGTGTAAAATCATAACGCACCGTCATAAGGGGTTGACCATAAATTATGTAAAGCAAATTTAGAGTATCTTGATTACCTTCCGTTTACCTTATAGAACCTGCAATGCACACTTGAACCCCCTCTCATAATTACATTATGCTTGCAACAACATCCTCCAGTAACATAAGTAAAAATCAATTATAATGATGAAACAACAAGTTGTATAAATTGTTTTTTTTAGTTTCTTCTTTCTTTCTATATATAGAAAAAGAGGCAAATCTTATCAATGTGTTTAGCTCACATCATGACTTTAAATGCTACAGACAGGTGCAGAATGATTGTTGAAATGTTAGTTTTTATTTGTTATATTTTTCAGTTAGTTTGCTTTATAAGCTTTAGGGTTTTTTATTACTCATCCATGCTGGCCTATGTAAGCCTCTCATTCTCCCTGAATTGTCAGGTCTTCCTGCCCTTGTGAGTATCCCAAATTTCCTGTTAATGATGCTGAGATGTGACCCTCCTCCTCCTCAGTTGCCAGAGGTTACCCTTGGACTCATCTCTGTCAATTTCTATATTATTAGAAGCATGATTTTTGTGTACATTTTGTGAGAAGACTCTTTCTGGTCTGGACAGTTACACTTATAAATGGCCTTAAATTGAAGATCATGGTCCTCAGGCATGCAGAAACTACTTCAATCACTAATATTTTTGTTCTAAATATGAAAGATTTATTCGGAAAAAATTAATTTCCAAGCACCTGCTAACACTCGACTGTATAGTGTTATGCTCTACAGTGAGTGGCAAAAGCTTTCCTGCAAAATTGATATGCTAACACAGCACTGTTCGTATGTTGTAAAATTAAGCAAGTATATCAACTGCTTGTGTAACGATCTTTAAATTGTGATTTTTTACAGCAGGTTCAGGTTGTTAAAGTTTATTGCCAAGACCCCTTAGGTCCACCTCTGCTGCTCATAATGGGTTCTATGAGGGAGTTCCTTTGGTGGGATCTGGGGAGAGTGGGGTTTCAAGGGATATGTGGTGGTTGGGGGTAGCTCCTCCACACTACAGCACTTTTGTTTATGTCTTTTTTGGAAATTCAACCCACTGTCATGATGTACCACTAACTTGGATGCAAATGCTTTGAAAGGCCTTGCAACACCCAGGCGGAAGGAAGGGAAGCCTCAGAATTGGAAGCTGAAACATAGTAGACAGGAAATGCACACTGCATAGACTCTAGCAAATATCCATACCCAAGGTGGGTCTAAAACCCTTCAAGCGACCTTAATGAGCAGCTACCCAAGTTGGTCTGATTATTGAAAAGTTGGCAATTCGATCAAATATTGGACCACTGAATCACATTGCATGTGTTATTCACTCCTTGATAAAAACGTTGCAAGTACATGGTTGGCTCAGAGAGTAAAGATATTAGCAGAGAGGAAAAGTTCTTTGAGAGTAATAAATGATTACAATTTTGCAGCAGTAATAATACTGTTAAATGTATTACTCAGACATATTGTATCAATTAGTATGGCTTTATTCTGTTGTGAGATGAAGATAAATTGGCAATTGATATAAGTAGCAAAGCTGTTGTTGTGTTAAGGACAGTCATCATAACAAACAATGGGGTCCCTCTCTTATCAGGCACTCACTGGATGATGCTAGTAGAAATATTATGCTGAATATCAGCAATTCTAGCAATAGTGTTTGTCAATTCTAGGCCCTCCCTCTTTGTGGTTCCAAGAGATCTCAAAAATCCTGTGTGTCATGTGGGCATTCCTTCCTAGCCATTGTTACAGCAGAGGCTTTTGATAACATGTGTTATGATTAGTATTAAGGCTGGTATTATTTAAATCAAATGATTATTTTAAAAAAATGAATCATTTAAATCAATATTTATTACTCATAATATTTGAAAATGTATTCGTAATATAAACATTTTTAAAATAAAAATTATTGAGATAAAAAGACTTAGTAATTGAATTATGTTTTTATAAAGAATATATTAAATTATTTATAAACTTTTTCACATAATTGAACAATTTTGAGAAAATAAAGTACAATAAATTAACAAACTTATGAAACAAAGAACAATAAACAATTCGTATTCGTATATTTTATAGTAGGGTTATATACTAATAGGCTTAGATCATCGATTAGTTTTTATCCAGCATTTAATTGTCTGCAGATAAAACTAATTTCGCAGCAATACCGCCCTAGCAGCCATCGAGCTAGTTTTGAGAAAGCTTCAGCAGTGTCCATAATTCTAGATTTATATTAAAATGTTTTCTAAAGCTCTTAAAAGAATATGAGCATTAATAAAAATTGAATTTTATTCACTCCTTTAAAGAACAAAATTAATATTGTTAAAACTAATGAAAACAGTAGTTAATCTTACTAGTTTTAATAATATTAACCTTTTTTTGTGTGTATATTGGTAAAATTCCATTTTAAGTGAGAAGCATACTCTAATGATCACTAATGGGAAATGGAAAAGTGCAAAAGTACTAACCATTACACCTCATATTTTTCGATTCAACTAGGACAACTATTAAATGGAATTTAATATTTCAGAAACTATATAACATTCTTATAAGTTTTTGGATGCAGTCATTTTCAACAATAAGTGCTTTTTGATTAGGGCGGTATTGGACAAAAAAATGGTAAAATTTCTTTGAACAAAGAATTTTTTCTCTAAATCTTGCTAATAGATGGTGCCACAAGCTTATTCAGTAATGAGAATGCAAGAGAAATGTTTCAGGAGCGCAAAACCATAAGTAACAAAAAAAATTAAAGTAATTAAGGTTAAATAAATCACTAAAGGATTTTGATTTAAAGTAAAAATATCTTAAACAATTTAAAAAAATCTGATTAATTAAAGTATTTTTAATTTTTTTTTTATTTTTATTTGTTTATTTTTTAATCCTGATTTTTTCCAGCCCTAATCAGTATAATGCCCAATACAGTGGAATTTGTTCCCAAGGCACAGATAACATTGATGGATGCTAGCTTCCCAACTTAAGAAGGTGTAATAGAAATCGCAAATCACATAGACACCTTTGTTTTTTCGTGAAGTTATAGTGATAATGCTTTCCTTATCAGATGTCTCTCAGACAAACTTTGTACGTCCACTTCATGGTCATTTTTGAGTTAATATCATTTTTGGAGACCTCTCATTCATAGTGTACAAAGATTGCATGTTCATATACGAGGGATCAGGCCGTTTCTCAGAAACCAAACACATAAGTAACCGACACCTTTACAAATTTTCAAGTTTAGTATTCTCGAAACTAGGAATTCTGTACATGCATTATGGGTGCACTACACCATTGATATGTACAAGGTTTCCACCAAGATTAATTATTTCAGATCCATCCAAACCAGTTTTCCAGGTGCAATATGAGGAATGTATTTAGATTTTTAATGTTGTTTAAAGTGTATATGCAAATGTCTTCGTTGTATCAACATTTTACTAAATGAATTGTTTGTTTGTTTTTCTTCAGGGAACGAGCCAATAAACGTAAACTTGAAGATCTTGTTCGAGAATTTTCCTTTATATGTCGTGGGATTGTTACGTAACCCACCCCACAGTAAGTTATAAGATATACTAAATGAATGACTTAGTTAAATTCTCTTATGTTGCCCATAAGAGTTTCAAAAAATCCTTCCATTAGAAACTAAAGAACTCCATTAAGTGAGTTTGTGCACTCTGTCTGTGATTTGTAATTTTATGGAAGAGAACAGTACAACCAATTTGTAATTATTTTCATTTATTACAAGTCTTAGTATTATTATTGATTTGCAGCATCTGCAATTTTATTAATCACATAATTTATGTGTGAACTGAAATTGGAGATCAGTTCATTTATTATACTTAGACCCTGTCTTAATAATATATAATTTTCTGTTCATTAATGTTTCCAAGAGTATGAAACAGAAATTATTTTTGAAATTAATTTATTCCTGAATGCATGTGACAGCCATTGGAATTGTTTTATAAAAAGAGAATTGTATATTATATACCATAGTCTTTTACTGGTGTAATTTATTTCATTTTATTGCCCTAACCTATCAAATATCCTCTGGCACTTATGATCATTGTGAGACTGCACTGAGTATACTGTGTTAATAGACATGTGATTTACATGATTTAGTACAAATGTCAGATTTGCATGAAGAAATTAGTGCCAAATTAGTGAAATGTACAAAAATTAGTTTTAATGGCAGATCAATGTCACTATAAATATTTTCAAATGTATATTTCTACTTGCACTTTCTTTCATACATTCGTACCATTGGTTGAATCAAGAAAATTCATATTTTCTATACATGTTCATATTTGCTCTTAAGATTTGATAAATATTAATCACTTTTATTGATTAGATTAAATTAGATTGTTAGTTGTGTTTTGATTAGATTTGCAAGAACCTGGAACTGAATTTGGTGACTAGTACTGAAAACCAAAATTGAAGTTTGGAAAAGAGAAAGTACTTAAAATAAGATGACTATAATGCTATCTTCAAAAGCAATTATCACATTCAATGATGAGCACACGAGTGGTTTTTGTAACTTGTTAAAATCAGAACAAAATTGTGACTCTCCCACCTTTAAATCTAAGTATTGTGTTTTGGAGATGTTTTATTTCCCTTCGTTTGGATATTATTTAATCAAAAAATCATTATCTAAAACAATAAATTGTGAAGGATTGTGGATTATTTTATATTGATTTCTTTTGCGATTACAATTTACCAGTTGATTTGCACAAGGGTGTAATATTTTCTTGTTTTTTTTTCTTACACTTGTGAGATTTGAAAATATGAGAAAGACTGAAGTAGGCTTGTATATTGAATTGTATATGTGAGGGGAAAGTAATTCCTATAAAGTTCATTGTGATTATTATGGTAATTTTATAATTTCAGAAGTATCATCAAGTTTAAATTACCATGAAAGTAGTTCTTGCTACTAACTAGTTGTTTTTTTGTCTGAGCTATTTAAATTTACTTTCTGTAATTGTATGTTTGAGTATGAATGGAAGGTGTGTTAGTGAAAAAAAAATATTCAGGAAAGAAATGAGGAAAGGTTAATGGAAGCTGTGATTTGCAACTATTTTCACCTCTTTATACTTTAGGTACAACTACTGTTTTGAGTGCAACAGGCTTGGAATTTTTACCATAATATTTTCTCTCTATATATTATTGATATTAAGGAAATCAATATGACATAGGTGATTCCTGAAATTCTGGCTTCAATATAGTAGACAGTTTATACATTAATATTTCATGTTTTCAGACTTTCAATTCATTTGATGTATTAAAAATATTTTGAATGCCCCTGCACTAGTAACAGTTTTCTGCTGGTATTGTAAACTCCTTGCTGAAAAAGGAGGCTCTTTTTATTTAGTTACCAAGTGGGTTGGATTCTGCCTTGTATCTTAATATATTCAGAAAAGTAGCTGCAATATGAACCTCTGATGAATAGTAACAGCAATACTTTTAAGCTCTAGATTTCAAGAAACAATGTTTAATATGTAATATTTTATGTGGCATCTGCTCATCTCACTGTCAGTGCACAGTCCAACACAGATGAAAACAAATATATTCTTAAATAAAATTTTTAGGCAACGAAAAGAAAAGCTAGATTCACATACTATTCTTGAACAATGTAATGAAGTGAATTTCTATTTGGGGAAATTCATTCCCTTTTAGCGCACAATTTTGTATTCTTGTACTGAAATCAAAATTTTTCTTATTCAGTAACCTCTTCAATGTCAGAAAATATACCATAAAGTTTTTATATTTGTTTTTCCTAGAGGAATGAATATAAATATAGTTTTTCCAAAATATGAGAGGAACAGCATGATATGCTAGAGTGAAAAGATTAATATTATAAAGTTTATGAGAAATGTATCCAGGAAAATCTTCTGAATCTCTGATTCTTGGCAGGAGAAATAGAATATTAAATGAATACGCAACTACTACACACACTGGTGTTGTGCTAGATAAAATTTAAAAACTTACCTTTTTTCAAGCTACATATCTATTGGAAGTTTTGTAACTGTTAGAGTTGTCAATTATAATGCAAGCAATAAATAATGCATTTGTGTGTGGACTAGATAGGCTGTGCTAGACACAATTGTGGACAAGATGTATCCAAAAGTGTTTGAAGTCCCAGGCATCAAAATTTAACAGCTTATAAAAAATGTTTATGATCTTATATGTATGAAATAACAACGTCTGTGTTCACAGTATTTAAAAATTGTTATGCACTAATTTGCATGCATATTGTGTATGAAATTGTTGTCTTTCATTGGAAGCCGTTTCATTCATCAATTATAATTGTTGAAGCCCTTGCATAATTATGTTTGTGAGCTTCCTTGAAGGCACGATAAATAAAAATTTTACAAACTCTTGTTGTTTTTCTTCACTTTTATTTTCAGCCAACAAAATACTTATATTTTCACACCATTATACAGAAACACTACATTTCTTGTATCCTCAAGCTCATTTGTTGTGCTTGATTTGACTCCTAAGGCATTTGTTTAAACAAATGCACTAATGATTTGGATTGATAGAAGACAGAGGTTTAGGCATGATTTTGTGTTTTACTTGCACATAAACATCTTAAAGGGCAATGAAGTCAAATTTGAATAAACTGCCGGATTAATGCACTTTAATCTTCAATGTATAATGGTTTGTCTTCAGAGATGTGAGTTTGGTAATGGGAAGTCTCAGAGTTACCATAAAGATTTGGAATCTATGCAAATGCAATGTTTTTACATCAGTTAATTAAACAAAGTAATGGCTGGCTTAATTTAGAAACATTCTGCAAAATATTAAAAAGGAGGACAAAACAATTTGAGAAATCCAGAAGGATTAGAATAATAGGCTTAATAATTTATATTTGTTAGGTGAAACTGTGTCTTATCATGCATGAAAAAGTTGTGTATAAAATCCCGCAATTTGTTACAATTTATTTAACTTCCATTTTTGTGCTTAGAGTATTGCAAGAACAGCGACTTGCAGTTAATTATTCAAGAATTCCAGTCAATATCTCCTTTCATTGTGGTTGGTGGGAGATACAATGATGCATTGGTAATTTAAGTACATTGTATTTGGAACCTTAGATTAACAAGTTATTTGGATGTATTCCACTGATCTATAAATTACTATATCGCACAGGCATCTACAACCAAAAATGAGATGGTTGGCCTACTACATTTCTAGGCCCCTTTGCCCATTTAACTTTTTCATTAATGTATATTAATATTTTTCAGTAAATGAGTAAAACCTACAAGAAAAATGAAATACCTTTCATTACATAATAAATGTAACTGGTTTTGTATTAAATCATTTACATGATTGCTGGATAGCTTGGAGAGCCAAATATAACTATTTTCCAAATCGTTTAGTGTAAAAAAAGGGGGGAAATAAGATTTTGAACATATTTAAGGAAAGAAAATGTTTTATTTTGTATGGTATTGGGAACCCCTTCCAAAATTTTAAGGGGGACCAAAATGCGCCTGGCCATCCCTGTGCACATGCTTATGCTGCATGGCAATTGCACATTGTATTGGCATTGCAAGGCCTGTTGTACGAGGCCGTCAGTTTAGTAGTTTGTGTGGGTGGGGGGAATCCAAAAGGGAAATTTAACCAATTTTTGCTCGGTTCAAAAATGTGACAATCAAATTAACTATTGTTTTCTTGTCCAATTGTCTTGTATTGCAAATTTCTGAACCATTTATTACTTATTTAAAAATAGGTTAAATAAATGAATCAAAATAATTCCTCATTAAATATAATCATATTTACTTACTTACCAAGACAATTCCACAGATTTATTGTTTTCCCCCAAAAATAACAATGAACATTTTTGCAAAATTTAAAAGCACGTCTTTATAAGATCAACATATTGATTTGCCCTAAAATTTGCGCAACGGCGGTGCCCATGGAGGGGACATTCGCGCGCGGCAGTGCCTATTCAGTGAAGAAGATCAGTACTCCTGGCGATTAACGTATGTCTAATTGGAACAAAGTTTTTGTTATTTGAAATCAAACATCCACCTAAATTTCAACGAGAGAGAGAAAAGAAAAACACGACAGTAAAAGAATGAATGATTCTTAATCCTAATACTACCCCCACGCAATGAATTCGGCACACCATACCGAGAAAATGAAATTATAGCTTCGAAGCTAATATACGGCTCGCTCCGGTACGCACACCGAGAAAACGAATTGATGTTTTTGAAGCTAATAATGCTTTTGCGGTCTAGTTGACACTTCGCCATTTTTGCCCGAATTTGCGATGAGAATCCGGCATGGCCATCTTTAGAAAGACTACCATGGCTCCAACCTTCGACCTCCGCGATTAACCAAAAACAAACCTGGGTCTATGCAATGCATTTTATGCCAAAATACTTCGTTATCCGATCTCGCTCACTTAAGGCATAGATTCGTTTGGGAGGGAAAGTTAAGGGATAACACTCAAGTGAACTTGAATTTGCACATTTCGTTCTGAAATGCTATTTTACATCGACAAACGATAAAAAAATAATTCGACGAAGGTAAATGTTAGCGGTTTGAAGGTACCAACTTCTTGAGTTTTGCTTGAACGCAGACTCGAGAGTTTTCAACGTCGAACAACCTCCGCCATGCACTTTATTTTAGAAGTAGCAGGATATTTACCGGCCTTTCATGCTCAATGATTGAAATAGTGTGCTTAAGACTTGACGTCTGAGCCCGTTTGACGTTTGTCAAAATAAAAACATTGCTTTATTCGTTGGTGTAATACTTCGAATCGTGCGTTCTCAGAAATTAAAGTGAAATAGTGATATTGACCCGAATATTGCTGCTCAATGAGGTAAGAACTATTTTGTTTGTTGATCTAAACTTTTTAAACTAAAAAAAAAGTGGATGGTTTTCGAACTCGTAGCTTCTTCATAAGCACATTATTTCGAAATGCAGAAGTGGGTAAAATTAAAACTGATTGAAGAAACATGATCGGAATATGTCGTTGCACGAAAAGTCCTTGTGAAAATACGTCGCGATTTTCATTTCTGAGAGATATTATGGATTCTTCGAAGTGGTTGTTTTATTTTATTTCGCCTACATGACTTTGACTGCTAGTAGATACCATTTAGCCTTTGTAGAACCGCATTCCATATTTACAGAGGCCTTCGTTCACATTTGCTTTCAAAAGTGGGCTCTTCCTGTTCATTCAATCACCTGCTTGTTACTGCTATTATTGTATACTAAGCTCTCGCAGGAGACGCGAAATTCAGGATATCGTTTTTAATCTGACTGAGTTTTAACTTGAAGATCCAAGGATAGCCCAGAGCGTTTCTATAGTTTTACAAGTCACATGTTTTATACACTGTGTTCTCAAATGTTCAATACTTGTTTCGAAAATTGTGCTGTACGTAGGTCACCCTCTGTGTACATATAACAAAGTATTGAATAATTACAGACGTAGATCGTCGTAACCAGTTATTTATTTGTTGTGGACGTTTGCGAATATGACATGCAAGTGAAGGTTACAGTTGTGTTAGCGAAAGGGGGGTAAACCACGCGAAAATTGCCTTTTATTATTTTTTAAACTCTGATTAGCTTTTCGATGCTGAAAACGCCGCAAGTAATTCGTTAAGGTAATCCAGATAAACTACAAAGAAGCGTACAACAAATAAGGAAAATAATATTACTCTTCTTGGATGAACGGAGTGAAGTAATGAAATGTATTGGCAAATGACGATTGCCAAATATTTGTGTTACACAAATATGTATTCCAGATTATGCATAGTATGATGCTCGTGTACTATCCTCAAGTAGTATCACCCGCTTTCGTCTTTATACTGTGGACGAATTCTCGAGAAAAACCCACAGCGGATAGGTAGAAAGTATTGGTCAATTGCTGGACCAGTTCTCAAATGTTCTCGGAGTAACGGGGAAAAAGTGATTGACAGTGACTTTGTTTACTGGGTCGTCGTAGCATCCCCCCCAAAACTGATTTTCTTGTCCTCCATTTGTCTCTAGAACCGGGAACAAATAATCCGAAAATATTCGAAGTGCCGTGGGCACACGTGACCTAATACGGTACAATGTACAGAACACCGAACAACCGAAGAGCGGTTAACAATCACTTCGTTCATTAATACGAGTATAGGATGCTCATGGCCGCACTTGTCACCTGAATTGACGAACCGTTCGTCACTTCGCCCTCTGTCATGGAACAGAGGAACTTCCCACAAGCTTCTTCCTTAAAGTTCCGCGCTACGAACATGTTGCGCTCGGCGGCTAGAAGTCCAGCTTCGGCCGTCGAGTCCGTCAATACACTTCCACCTCGCAGAGCACGGCTGAGAAGAGCTGGTTCCATCGGTTGGCCACGCCCGCGGCCTTGACGTACACATAGCGGCCCGTCAGCGTCTGGCCGCAGTCGAAGTGCAGGCGCGGCTGGAAGAGCGCGCTGTGAGCGCGCGACACGGACGTGCAGCGAGACACGTTGCCCTCGGGCACCGGCGACAGCTGGTACGCCTCCAGGCGCGGCCGGTCCGACACGTACACCGTCAGTCGGTCCAGGTTGAGCAGGTAGTCGTGGTACAAGATGTTTTTATCTGTGCATGTGGCAATCCACGTTCAGTCACTATTGCTAATAATGTATGTGTCATTTATAATAATGTACTCCTGACGTACACCTGACCTTGCCGCCTGGCACCACGTGCGGGGGGAAGCGGAAGTAAGGTAGTGGCAGGAGGACCTTTTTTACTTTATTACATTTTTTTATTTATTTAGGTAAAAAAAAACAGTTAAAAACGGTGTGTGACGTGCTATGGGGAGACGTTAATTTGAAGTTACATTTATGTCCAGAAGCAAAACCAGGGGCCATCTCAGCATTTGAGGATCAGAGAAACGGGACGAAAACCTGATCGAGATGAAACCCTGATGATACCTTCGAGCCCATTCCCTGTTCCCCTAAATGTCTACGGGCGGATGATAGGGGTACCCAGATTATGAGATTTTTTTTGAGGTATTACTTGTGCATCGGCACCTGACGTAGCCTAACCTTGGCGAGAGCGGTCCTCGTGAAGAGCGACTTTGCAGCGGCCATCTGACAGGTCGGAGATACTCAAGAGTGCTCGGTGGCCGGGAGAGGGGGTGGGGGAACTGCTAGGAGGACCCCGGGGCTGGTCTAGCGGGGCTGAGGAGCGAAGGAAGAATCTGAAACGAAGGAGGGGAGGAAGGACGTCGGCAGGGTCAGTTTGGGCCGAACTGAATCGACTAGGGGTGAGGGGAGGTCGGCACTGCCAGTTTGGCCTGATCTGAACCGACGAAGGAGCTGAAGGTCCGTACTCATGGGCGACGAGCTAACGAGCAGCATTCGTCTCCCGAAATAAAGCTATTATATAGGCCTTTACTGCAGAGACGCTCTTTTCTAGGCGGAGCTACGTCATTGTGCTTAGGCGGGGGCCATCTGTCTGAGGCTACGCCAGAATATCATCTGTTGTGTCATAGATTTACCACCTAAGAAAACACCTTCAAGACAGCTTTCGCGCGAGCCATAGAGGATAGGCCCCTTCCACCAACACTGTACTCGATATTCTCTTCGCCTATCTGCCGGACATCAAGTTAATGGGGGTGGGGTGTCGCAGCAATCACAATTGCAATGTAACTGTCAACTGATGCCAGGCGGTGATTGCCGCCTGACGCGCGTGTGCGTGTGTGTTTGTGTTTGTGGGTCGCAACTCTCAACGATGCTAAACGCGTGAAGACATCATGTTGAAAGACGGAGGCGGCTGCCTTTGGTTGGGGAAGGTCGCAAGTCGCAATTTCAGCGCAGTGTAGTGTAGTATAAGCCGTTGAACTATTGTAAAATCGGTTCAGAATCAATCCAGGATTTAAGACTCGTGTATAGTCAAACATGAACGAAACATCTTCGTACCGTAATATTCGATGAAATCATTCACAATGGTGAACGAAAATGTGACCGTGAACATTAATGTGAGACAACTACGTGCAAAGTTTGCAAACTCTAAGCTTTTACGGTACCGTTTACGTGGTTGGTTTGAAAAGAACACACCACACTCAAGTGCAACCACGTGCAAGGACTGTCTAGCGTTTTCGTTAGAAGTCAATAAAAAGCATCAATTAAACTTCATCAGAGATCATTAAACGCTCCATGGAATCGCTCATCATACCCATGCTTTAGAAAATCCTCAATTTTACTTACTGCCCTTCGTTAGCATACGAACGATGTGCCCCATTTATTTTACCAATGGATTATCGTATCTATGAATCTATCGTCTTATCTACCGTATGGCTATTTTCACGTTTCCGTTACTGTAATGAGGCAATGTTCATGAGAAAATTGCTTGTTCATGTTCCTACATCTGCTTCGTTTTCATTGTGGATGAGTCTTTACACAGGAAGATTTAAAATGGCCTTCGGATCTGCGAGGAGAATCATTATAAAAAAAATACCTTGCGATGTAATGCTTAGTGCACGTTAACATAAAGAAATTTTGTTGCCGCATGATAATGTCTGCATAAGGTTCAACGTGCGACACTTCAGACTACGAGTGTACGATCGCGGACGGAATTATGAAATGGCGAGTGTCCCTGAGTCACAGCTAAGCACGAGACTTTAGCCGTTTCCCCACCGTTTCGTGTTGGCACAGAGAAGGTTTTCACTTGGTAGCGCAAAGCTGGCGACCTCTGGTCGAGTACATCGAAAATTTTATCACCTCGGGACGCGTCATTTCTCTTCGCTGGTGGGAAATACGCTTACGAATTCGCAAGAACATATTATCACACGGGACTAATCACGGTAACTCTAGTGACTCACAAGCTCGAAGGCCTGAATTTGTACTCTGAGGATGATCGGAGCTCGAGATTATGACATGTAGATTAATTTGAGGTCACAAGGCAAGATAGAGAAAAAGATTTGTCTTTAGTCACGAAATAAACGGCTCTGTTCCAGTGAAACCCCGTTCTCCTGCGAAATGAAAATTGTTTGAGATGTGTTACTTTTGGCCTCGTAGCTTGGTCAGCGTGCTCGCTTGCCATTACGCGGCCCCGGGTCCGATTCCCGGACAGGCAAGACTATAGTGCGCGTTTTCCTTGCAATGTTCCAGTATATGTTGCTGTGTGACGATGACAAAATTCACTTCTCAGGTTGAGAACACCGGAATACGGCGTGGGGATGTCTATGTGCTAACAACACGTACCCCCTTAACCCATGGCCGCGAGACAGGGACGTCGCCGGTAGGCCTGAGCCCGTTCACGGTCTGTCGCGCCAAGTACATACATATGTTACTTTAAGGCAAGTTAGTCAAATGTCTGTTAAAATGTTATTGATAAGTTCAGGTCATAAATGAAGGCCAAAATTAAAATTCAAGCTCCATAAGAATAATAGTTTGTTATAATCTTACGTCTTAGGTAGAATTGGTCTATAAATTTAGTGGTTAGGTAAAAGCATGAATTTTCTTTGTCTAGCTGTGATATAACATCTAAATTTGTGAACCAGTTCTCCTCATGACGTGAGATAATGACAAAATATCTCTATGATGGTTGATTGGTAAAATTATAGGTTCCTCTTGTTACTGACAAGATGGCAGCGTGACAAATTGACTGTAAACCTTAACGTCATATAACCTAACACTAATGTGAATTTCTGTTGGTTTTTCGAAACATATGATATCATCATTATGGATCACCATATTCCATAATGAAAACCACAGTATTTATACTAATTTGTAAAATATTATCTTTGTAACTTTGCTTGATGATGGGGCTAACATCGCTCCGATACATCGATGAAATAAAGAATTTAAGAGAAAAAGGAATATAATTGATTGTCAATAACAAGAGAAACCTATAATTTTACCAACATACACATGGTCAATAATTTCTTTCAATAATTTAATTTTAATTATTGCCTGCATTTGTAGCCTTCCACTTAGATTTAGATTTATTCAGTAAAAAAAAAAGCAGTAAAAAACTGAATGTGACGAGGAGAAGGATAGATTATCTGCGCACGTTTCTTGAGTTCCAAAATCCCTTCCCGTCATTTTAACTATAATAGTTGAAAATGAGTAAAAGTTTAACATAAATAAAAAAAAATACATTTTAAAAATCGCAAGACTAGCAATATTTGAAAATAGTCATTTTCGTTTGTTATAGAAAAGTTATTTGCATCGGTACACGAATTGCACTATTATTTTTCTGCATTGATACAAAATAGCAACTCCCCTTACCTCTTCCATTACAAGCAAAAGAAGAGTTCAACAAAACGTGCGCATAGTGAAGCTACATTTACGCCCAGAAGCAAAAACAAAGGGGCCATCTCAGCGTTTGCTCAATGGATCAGGGAAACTGGACAAAAACCTGATCGAGATGGGTTGCGACGCTCACTTGCGCGTTCCTTTTTTTTACGCACTGATTGGTGCTACGACTGAGGCCGGGTTGGCATGCAAGAGTGCAAAAGCGCGAGCGTGCTCACCTTGCCCGATCCCCTGCCACGTGGTGAGGATGACGCCCAGCACGGGCTCCTGCCAGCCCAGGTCCACCATCCAGATGGGTTGCTCCACGTAGTAGTTGTCGAGGATGGCGCAGCGCGACAGCGAGGCGTCCTTGTCGCCGTCCACGGCCAGCGCCGAGTTGCCGTACGTCCAGTCCTTCCAGCCGTGGCGCTTGTCGTTCACCCACGTCGTCTTGCCGTACGCTAGGTTGGGCACTGCGGGCAGCAAATGGTTGTTATACCAGAAGTAGAAACGGCCATTTCTGGCGCAAGAAATCGTTCATAAAAGGACATTTTACGGCACAAGTGATGACGTTTAGCATGTTATGGCACGAATGATTGCGTCATCACACATTCAGCCAATCGCAGCGAGAGAATCGAGAAGAGGTAGTGGCAAACGGAACAGCAGACCACCGTTTTCTCGCACATGTCAAAAAACCGAGACGTCACAATAAAGTTGTTTTGCAAAATTAAATTTTATTATCTTATGAATTTAATGCCGTTATACAAAAAATAGCGTATGCAACTCGTTTATAATGTTGCTTTATTGCATTCGTACAAATTTGAAAACTCGCTTCTAACATTGATCGTTTTCAAAACAAGTACTCGAGCAATGAAGCTTAATATTATAAACCAATTGCATAAACTACTATTATGTAACTAGTACAGAAAGAGCATCTTTGGCGTACGATTGAAATGTTGCTGATCGAGACGATGACCGGAGCTGGGTGCGGATTTAAAAAAAAAATATTTAACGTTACAAGCAGTTAAACTTTGTGTGACGCATGGTGGGGAGAAATGCACTATGTGCATGCTTTCTTGAGCTCTGGGATGTCCATCTTAACTCATATACATTTGAATTATGAATAAATGTAGCAATGAGCATTTTTGACAAGAATTAGTTTGAAAATAATTGTTCTCGTCTAATAAAAACTATTTGCCAAGTCAAATCAGCTACTGATTTAGACTATTATCCCCAGTGCTTTGCGTGAAGGAATCGACTTTCTGCCGCGATGAAATGGAACACGATTGTTGGAATATTTACTTTCCCGAAAGAGGTCAAGAAACTGCGCACAGAGAATGAAGCTCCAGATGCAAAACTAAGGGCCATCTCAGTATTTGCTCAAAGGATCGGGAAAACTGTACGAAACACGTGATCGAGATGGGGATCATCGACCCCAAAACTGAGATACAATACTTGTTACATTTTGAAATGAGTTGGCCAAAAACATTTTCGTATGAGTAAAGTAAGAGTACATTTTATTTGAGAAAGAATTCATGGAAATTTTTAAGTACGTGTTTATACTTGGAATCATTCTTAAAATTCCAGCAGGCAGCCACGTTGATCCATGTTGGCCCGGAGTTTTGTTTGCTTTGCAGCATCCAGTTGATTTTTAAGTCAATGACTTCTTTGCGGTCCCTTTGCGTAGACAATATTTTGCCGTACGTGTGCCGCAAAGTAGCACTTTCCATTCAATAAATAGTGAAAGTAAGTACTAGCGTAGTATTTCCATGTATGACAGCCGCCCAGTGCAGCCTTGGTCTTCGCGAAACAGTGACTATGAGGTGACAGCTCCACAGTGACAGTTTCACGAAGGCGAAGAATTGTGACTTTGGAGCCATTGCTCAAGAATCGGGCGTATGCGTTGCCACCAGCACCTCAGCTAGGGAAGGGGGCATAATATTATCTTTGTTTGCGTACCTTTAGAACGATGTTTTGTACTAAGCGGGTAGGGTAAAGGTAAAAAAATGCGTGTAACTATTTTTGAATGAAATTTAGTACAAAGGGATGGGGAAAGGGTCCATTAATGTCGATTTTTGTTTACATATTTTTCATATGAAGTTTCGTGCAGTAGGGTAATCCAAAGGCGATTTTGTACACGCATTGCAAGAAGGCGCATTGCAAACCCATTTTGTGCAGAGGGGCGGAAAAGAGGCCAAAAATGATGAGTTTTTTTGTGCATATATTTGAACTGAATTTTCGTGCGGTGGAGGTGTTTCAAAACTATTTTTTATACACATTTTAAGAATGACGTTTTGTTCGGAGTGTTGTGCGGCGCTCCAAAAAAAGACAATATTTATGTATAGATTTTTGCAATAAAGTTTCCCGTGGCAGAGGAATCCAAACACGATTTTTGTACACGCATTTTAAGAATGAAGTTTTGCACAGGAGGGTGCAGCAGGGTTCCGAAAATGACGATTTTTGTGGACATATTTTTCAAATGAAGTTTCGCGCTGCAGAGAAGTCTAAACGATTTTTGTATAAACATTTGTGGAGAGAATGGTGTTTTTGCGGAGGGGTTCGAAAATGACGATTTTTTTACATACTTTTCAAATGAAGTTTCGGGCGGCGGAGGAGGCCAAAGGAATTAATGACGATGTATGGAAAATGATGATTTTTGTGTACATATGTTTCACATAAAGTTTCGTGCGGCGAGGAAGTCCAAAGGCAATTCTATAAGCGCACGTTTTCTAGAGCCCCGGAATACCTACCCCCACTCCTTTGCCAACATTAGTTGAATTGGGAATAAATAATAGCAACGAACGTTTTAGACAAAGTCTGATAACCAGAATGTTCACTCCCGTGTAATTGAAACTATTTTGCATCGAAAAAGAAACAACAAATTTGATGCAAAATTCCTTTCGTCAAAATAACCTAACTCCGCACTCCTCTCGCAACTAGCGAAGCGAGGGATCAAGAAAACTTGCGCGAATAATACATGCATTTGTGGCGTGAATGATGTGGTGGGGACCGAAAATGTCGATTTTTGTGTACATATGTTTCACATGAAGTTTCGTGCGTCGAGGAAGCCCAAACGCAATTCCTGTACATGCATTTGCGGAGTGTGGAGGGGTCGGACGGCAGAGGTGCGCGTGCGCCTGCGCGCCTGTAGCTGTGCGGTGCTCTCACCGCAGCGCGCGGCGCCGGTGACGCGCAGGAAGCCGAGCGGGCAGGGGCCGCGGTGCGGGCAGCCGATGACGGCGGAACGCAGGCCGATGCCCTGGCTCCACGCCGCCGGGTGCACGCGCACGAAGCGCGCCACGAACGGCTGGTTGAGGTAGTGGCGCCGCTCCGTGCTGCGGTCCATGTTGCCCCCGAACACCTGCAACGCGCGCGCCGGCTCAATTCAGACGCTCTATGGAGAGGAATTGTACTGGTCGGCTGATTCGATAGTTTTTCGTGGCTTCTTCGATCAATACCGGGCGAATACCTCGCAGAACTCTATCAAATGGGCCAGTGATCTTCCCTTCTTTTTCCATGCTATTTCCTCTCTCTGTACATACACAAAAACACACACACAAGCACACGTACACACGTGCGCGCGAACACGCTGTGCACTAGTAGACATGAGAGGAGTTTAGAGGTCGTACGGGCTGGGGTTATCATCGGCTGGGGAAGACACTGAAAGATGTCGGCGTCAGTTCGTTCGTTCCAGCGGGCTCCATAACAATCACTACAGTCGTACTGTTGAACAAAGTAGTTCACGCATCCTGTGAACGATACCGTCACGTCGAGAAATTTATGATGTCAAATTAGAACAAAAAATAACAGCAAATAAATAAACAAAATACTTGCCCTGAAGTACAATGACGTGTGCCTAAGAGTTTGAAGATTACAATCAGTTGAATATTGGGAATGAGGGTCACGATGTCAGAAATGTCACATAAATAACTTCTTCAAATGAAATATCCCTACCATATATTAATTAGCCAAGAGTTACAACTTTCGACCCCCTACATGCGCTAGACGCTGGTAACATTTATTCTTAAACGGCCTGGATTATAAGGATAATTCTATGGTGTTTGGTCAGACGTGATTGAAATGCTACTTTGGTTATTCCACGACATTATATTTTAAATGGCTTGAAAACTAGCATGTTAACATTCAGATAAGAACGTGAGAAAACAAAATTCAATGAGCAGAACTGCGAAGTGAGTTTCCAAAGTGATTAAAATGTAATGGTGAGAAAAATCCATTTTCATCTGAATGGGATTTTGGAGTTAATATGCTCAGACCAAAAACCACAGAATTCCCATTATTTTCCAGCGTATTATTGTTTTCTTTTCTTTTATTACCTTTGAGTGCAGATGATTGCTTTCCTTGTAGGTGTACCAGACGAGGGAATCGTTGCTGTAAGTGATGGTGTAGGCTGTGACCCATTGCAAGCGTTTGGTGTCTGGTCGACCTTTGGTGACAATTCCTGTCACTAGAATGGGCGGACCCAAGTCGAACTGAAGCCACTGGTGAGCTGGAAATACATACTTGTATTATTTTAATATTTTGTTTTCTACGAACTCATTAGCATAGTGCGGTGCCTTCGGAGGATATTTTCATGTTAAAGGTATTTATTTGTGCTATGTAAAATCGTAAAATAAATTCAAACGATAGTACAAATGCCTGGCTTGCCCACCCACAAACTTATAAAATTGCATGAAAAAGTGTCGATATTTTAATTAAAATAAAAATTATTTTTCGTGACAAAATTATCCTTAATTATTGTCAATCTAGGAGACCAAGTCTTTAGAGTTCATGTTATGTCGGAATTGTAATGTACAAAATTGTACCATTGTAGGTTCCTGAGCCCCTCCCCCTTCAACAGGCTTTTTCCTTAAACATTTTTGAGAATTCTAGAAAGTTCAAGCTTAATAAATTTCCAATCGATTCGTCTTGTTGGAACAAGATTCATATTTATTGCATGTAGGATTTATTGAGACTGATCACTTTGCTAGTCAAAAGAATTTGTAATGCATTTAGTGAATTTTGACACGTATTCTTATCGTCTGTGAACTATATATGTTGGCATTTAATTTTTGTGTATTGCTTTCTGAAACCCGTTATTTTTCATTGTTTAACTTCCATTCTGCCAGATGTAGTTGTATGCATAAAACAAGCCAATTAAAAAAAACGTTTCCGTTTATCACTATAAGTGTGGTATTATTCCGGAGAAAAATAAGAATAAGTACTGACAGGAAGAACGTGTTATATGTATGGATTCAGTTATTTCTGACAAATATTTTGTTAGGTAAGAACTACGGACATATTTTAACCTGGCAGGAATGGTGGTGTGAAAAACTAAGAGATAGTTATCAAGTTCCCTTATATACCATTTAACATTACTGAGAACAAAAGCCTGTCAGCCTCGTCTAATTCCCGTACCCAGGACAGAGAGGTTAGTTGATATGTCAGCTATATTCATACGCTGTCATTATTTATAGAAACATTGAATTTATTAACAACTGGAATTGGAGTTTATCATAATAATATATTATGGATTTAATTTGTTTATCCATTAATTCGATGTTCTTAGAAAAAATATTTTTTTGTTTTATAATAAGTTTAAATATATTTCACGTTGTGAATTATATTTCGCTACCAATTTATTATATTTCACTACCAATAAAGTTGACTTACATAGAAATGAACAAATTTTTCTCGTTTCCTTGACAACAATCTAGTTTAAGCATGAAAATGTGCTTTACATTTGAACATAAATAATGAAAGAGTATTTTGTTTCTTGCTATCATTTACAAAGAGGTAATGGATAAATTAATAAATAACGTTTGAGAGACGAGAATAAGAAAATACTATATTTACAAGTGAAAATTTGTTCCCTCAGCTCTTGTTGCCGAATCAAGATCTAAACTTTTCACTCGCGAATAAAACCTTATTTTACCCTCTTGCAACACAGTAGGAATCTGGAATTATTTGATTTTTTTTTTCGTTTCATTTCGGCGCGTATCACTTACTGTCTGTGTGTCTGGGGCACCACGCGCGGTGACCGAACACCTCCGCGTTGTCCGGCTGGCAGGAGGTCTTGCGCGACCACGACGGGTGCGTGCTGGCCGTCACCTTGGTGTAAGGCGCCACGCTCACCAGCTGGTTGCACTCTGCAAACAAGACAGCCCGGCAGCAGTCGTTAGCCTGAAAGCTCTGCCCCTCATTTGCCCCCGAGAACTTGTGATGTATTGGTCTATTGATGAGATGGACCTGGCATTTCATTGGAATGCTCATGCCAACTTATCGTCTTTATCAACTTTGTTTTATGACAGCGACATTCGATGTTATAACTAATGGCATCTCCAAATCTGCCACTTGAAAGCCAAAATTATATTAATTGATTATTTAGTATCAACTACTAAGGTCATTAGACCCATAGGTGTTGTGCATGTATGTCCTGAGTGAACGTGAGATCCTACACGACGGTTATTGTCCGATTTTCTTTAGAATGGGATGATTTGACAGCTAGTGCTGGCAACATTACTGACGATTCTGTGGTCGTTGTGTCCTTGAACTTATTAGACTCTCCTTCCTCTATTCGTTTGTTTGCGGTTGGCTAACTTGTAAATAGTTCCCTGGCTGTGATGTGCTCGTCCGACGAAAATATAGTGCGCCACGAGAAATAATTGAAATTAGGAAGTGCAGAGCTTTGTGCTGGCGGAGGGATAGTTCTCTGAAGTACTCGTGATGTTCACTTGTTTCGCGAACTGTCACTTTATCCCATTCTTAGGAAAATCGTTCTATAGTGCGTTTACCACTACAGGCTGACCGAAACCGACCCCAGTCGGAACAAGCTCTAGGCTCCCGAATAGTTTCTTGACTATGGGTAGCAGCGCATTAAATGTAAATGTAAGTGGAAGTGTGTGTTTGTAAGAAAATAAGATGGGACAAGGAAATGGAAGGATAGATCGTGCGATCCAAGATCCATTTGCTTGGGCAATTTTTCAGCATTTTCTGTTATTGATTTGAGGAACCGCCGTAAAACTACCGATCAGAGCAGCGAGCGGGCTGCTAGAATTCTCCTCCGGGCAATGGCTGAATTCGACCGAGCTAAGTAGCTGGTGTCGAAAGTCGGGCAGAGTTGGAACTAGAACCTTAGGACCTACCGATCAGCGATCTCCAAACAGTGTCAATGGTACCGTCGAGAGAGTTCCACTATTATAGTAAATCTGAATGTCAGACGGTACTTCGTAATTTTGATATCGATTTGATGAAATTGTGAGGAGGGGTTTTAAAAAAAGGTTGAATCAGTTTGCGTTTATTTAATTTTCATTTTTGTTTTTCCGACATCTATATTTCCATGAGGAAGTGAAAAACAAATACGCTTTGCTTCTTCTTCTTCTTCTTCTTCTTCTTCTTCTTCTTCTTCTTCTTCTTCTTATTATTATTATTATTATTATTATTATTATTATTATTATTATTATTATTATGCTTCTCGATGATTTTCTTTTTAGTGCTTGATCTTGATATTTTAGAAAATATTTATTTATTTGTTTGTGAGTTTGTTTTGCTGATTAAATTATTACAACGCCATGTTATCCTATTATCCTTAGTCATGTTGAAAACATCATATTTTGCTTTTTCTCTTGCTAATAGTTAATATCTCACATCATTTATATAGTTCGTATTATTTTAGAAAATGAAAGGCAATTTCCTTTGTAAGTAATTTTTACACGTTTATCCTAAAACTGACCATTTTGATAGTGAAGTCTATTGAGTTGGCTAGTTGACTGCGAGTTGGCAACGCAGGACCAATGGCTATTGTGAAGTATTCATATTTTAAATGCTTGAATATTATGGAATTCAAATAATAGAAACCTACTTAAATTTTGAATATCTTTCCATTGCCTAGAGAAAGGCGTGCTCACAAACTTGTCCTAGTATCGAATTATGAATAATAAACGTGGTTCCGTATTCTACATCATACGTATAGAGAACTTGAGTATTGTGGCTGGATGCCAGACATGGTTCATTTGTGACGTGTAAAAATAATTTTATTAGGCACGACTTGTTGAGAGTTCGTTATTCTCAAAATTGGTACGACTCTGTAATTTGTCGAATTGCGTTGCTTTAATTTGCCTTTAGACGGTACTGCGACATCTCTGGGGTTAGCTATCGTTAAATGCGTCAGTAACTTTTCGATAAAACCACAACAAAATTACAGAACACAGAAGTTCATGATATGTCACGCACAGGCTTATCTCAAGGAGTCGACCTCAAGAAGAAGAAACTCTTGGTTTAATTTATAATTTAATATTACTGTATAGAATCTTATTTTCTTTTCATCCTTATTTGTTTACTTTCAAGCATCATAGCTTTGTATCCTGTCGCCTTGCCCCAAGTTATAATCTCCGTGCCACCCCCACTCCACCCCCCACACACATACACACGCACCCGCGCTCCCAACTCACACAAGCGTGTGGAGGGTAAACAAGTCGCGTTTAAGTCGAGCAAAGTAGTTTCAAGTTATCTGTCCATGTCCGAGGCCTGATTACGCGGATCAGTTGATCTTTGGGGATGCAACTTTCGCGGGCGGTAAGTCGGATTTCGACGCCCAACCCGCCGCCGGGTTTCCGATGGCCCCCTACACCTCCATCTCCAACACAAAAGGCAGCGCCCCCCTTTTACCGCCGCTCTGCCATCGCCCTGCCTCCACCTCGCATTCGCTCCACCGCTGCCTTTGCCTTCGCCCTGCCTCAGCCCTCCCCTTCGTTCTGTCTTCGCCCTTGACGTCTCCTCGCGTCTGCTTTCGTCTACGTTCTGTCCTTGTCTCTCCCTTGTCTCTGCCACTGCCTTCGTCTCACGTCTCTTCTCTCCTTCGTTCCGTCGTTGCCCTCGCGTCGGCCCTGCCTCTCTCTCGCCTTCGCCCCACCTCTACCTTTGTCTTCATTCCGTATTTGCCCTTCCTTCCACCTCGCCTTCGTTCCGTCTTTGTACTCGCCTCCGCCTCGCCTCTACCCACACCTTCGTTCCGACTTTGCCCTCGCCTTCGCCTGGCTTCTGCCCTCGCCCTCTCTTTCCCCTGCTTTGCCCTCTGTTCCGTCCATCCCGCTGCTTCCGCCTCTGTGCCTCCCCTCCTCGCCGCCCCCTCTAGCCCCGCCCTCTCCGCAGGCGGTAATCCGACGTAGGATTGACGCGGAGATCTGCCAAGTGCCGCACTCCCCCCTCCCCGCCGACCTTCATCCGCGTCTTCTCCCCGCCCGTGTTTCTGTCTCCGCCCAAGACTCGTTGGGCGCAGCCGGGTTTCCAGTTACAAACATTCTGCTTAACCACCTTTTTTTGGCATAAACGAAGGCATGTCAGAAAGTAAGTTGCATTATTTCGTTAATTCAAATTATTCAAAGCATTATTGAAATCGAACTGAGGTTCTCTGGTTAACGCCCACTTGCTTATTAAGAATTCAATATTTTCTGTTTAGGATTGTTGTGAGGTTGGTCGAGATAAATATTTTTTAAAGACGATAAAACACATAAAATTGATTCTGGGATTCTCCTTAACAAGGTGAATGATGGGTGGGGTTCAATTTTTGAGATTCATGGCTCCTTGGCTGTGTCAGTGACTTGTAGAGGAACATGAACAATGTTCAAGGAATGACTTGAAGAAAAAAATCACCACTTTTCCGAAAGCTCTGCAAAAATTAGAGGAGACAAATATGGAAATATTAAGCAAATTTGGGGAAGAAATAAATGTAGTTGTAAAATACGTTGGGATAAAATTTTCGGAACTAATTCGGAACGATCTGCATTTTTGTATTTAGTATTTGTGCTCATGCAAATGAGCTATGGTCATTTTTGTGCACATTATAACAAAGCGTAAAAACGTAGCTGTACTAAAATTTAACTATTAGAATCACCAAAATTTTCAAGTATTTGTTAAGGCGATTATAATTTTGAAATTGCAATAAAACCAGTTCATATCCATAGGGGATATGAACTGGTTTTATTGCAATTTGTAACATTTTTGTAACCTACAAGGCTATTGGGTGTTGGGAACTTTTGAATGAGAGTGTAACATTATCAGCTACTACGATTCATTTGTAAGTTCCATGCCAGATTCTGAAAGAATATATTGAACAAAGATGGGAATTAAATAAATGAAGTATGGAAGAAATTTCCAACACATGAAACTATTTTTAAAACAGTTTACGGTGACGTCACTTTTACTAGTACAATAATACAATGATATATAATAAAACGAATTAGTTCATTCTGAAACAATAAATAATGTTAACAAAAAATAACAAATAGATACCTGGCATGGGTTATGTGACAAAATTTGGACCTAAGGCTTGATTATTTTTAATGTCATTTTATTTGAGAATGTTGTAAATCCTCGTCATTTTCAGTACCTTTTGCATAACCTTCAATCTGAACATTTCTTTCTCGTCTCATGATTTGGGGCCATGTCAATTCTCAGAATTTATTTTTATCTCGCAGTTTTCTCCGGGTCGCCAAGCTACGTAATGCATTTCTTGGTTGGACTTTTTAACATACTACAGTTCGTTTGAACACACTAAACACTTCACCATTGTTCCAGTATCTACAAAAGGAAATCTTTCTTTCCAAACCGAAAGAAAATTAATGGGT